GCTGCGGACTTTCCTAAAGTCACAAAGGCCCACAAACCCCAAACAAGCAGCATCTGGCCGCCGCGGGCCCTGCACCTCTCGCAGAGCAGCCCCCAGCCCGGCACTAGCGGCAGAGGACTCGGTTCGCGGCTCAGCCGCTCCCAGGTGCCTCCAAGCCCGGCACAAGTGGCACCAACTGCAGATGCCTCTGTAGGTCATACCAGGTGGCTCCAGTCAGGGCTCAGGCAGCGGCTGACCTTGTTCTGCTTCAGAGACCCTCCCACAAGGCAAACCCAGAACCAACACACCCAGTGGCCAGCTTCAGACCACACCAGAGCCCCGTCCAACCACCTCTACAAACGGCACGGCCAAAGAGCAGACTGGGCAGGCACCAGAGCCAAGCTACAGCGAATCTTGCTCCGTGGGGTCAGCCCCACACAATAGTTCATGGTCACGGCCAATCAGCCTGAGGGTCGGTCCCTTTCACTGGCATGCAAAAAGCAACCAAATCTCAACTACAACAGGAGGGCACACATAACCCACATAAGGGACACACCTGGAGCGCGCAGCTCAGTGACCCAGGAGACTGTGCCACTGAGCCCATAGGACACCTACTACATAAGGCCACTTCTACCAAGACCAGGACACATAAAAGCTCTGCCTAACATGTAGGAACAAACCCAGGGAGGCAGCCAGAATGAAGAGACAAAGACACATGTCCCAAATGAAAGATCAGAATAAAGCTCCAGAAAAACAGCTAAATAAAATGGAGACGAGCAATCTACCAGATGCAGAGTCCAAAACACTGCTTATCAGGATGCTAAATGGGCTCAGTGAGAACTTCAACAAAGAGAGAGGAAACGTAAAAATGGAGATAGAAAACATAAAAAAGAACCAGTCAGAAACGAAGACTACATTAGAGAGAATAATCAGATTAGATGAAGCAAAAAATCGAGTCAGCAATTTGAAAGATAAGGTAGCAGAAAACACTCAATCAGAACAGCAACAAGAAAAAAGGATCCCCTAAAATGAAGGTAGGTTAAGGGGCCTCTGGGACGATAGGAAGTGTGCCAACATCCGCATCATAGGGGTACCCGGAGGAGAAGAGAGAAAGCAAAGAATCGAAGACCTATTTCAAGAAATAATGACCGAAAACTCCCCTAACCTGGCAAAAGAAATAGACACACAAGCCCAGGAAGCACAGAGTCTCAAACGAGATGAACCCACAGAGGCCGCACCGAGACACGGCCTCATGAAAACGCCAAAGGTGAAAGACAGAGAGAGAATCTTAAAAGCAGCGAGAGAAAAGCAGTTACTTACCTACCAGGAAGCTCCCATAAGACTGTCAGCTGATCTCTCAAAGGGAACTTTGCAGCCAGAAGGGACCGGCAGGAAATATTCAAAGTGGTCAAAAGCCAGGACTTGCGACTAAGGTGACTCTACCCAGCAAAGCTGTCATTGAGAATCGAAGGATGGTTTCCTAGACGAGAAAAACCTGAAGGCGTTCATCGCCAGTAAACCAGTATTACAAGAAATATTAAAGGGACTTTTTCAAGAAGAAGAAGAAAAAAATAAAAAAATATGAATAATAAAATGGCAATAACACCTACCAATAATTATGTTAAATATAAATGGATTAAATGCTCCAATCAAGTCACAGGGTGGCTGATGGATAAGAAAACAAGACCCCTGTGTTTACTGTCTGCAAGAGCTCCTCTTCTGATCAAAAGACACTTATTGACTGAAAGTAAAGAGATGGAAAAAAAAGTTTCCTGGAAATGGAAAGAAAGAAGCAAAAAAAAAAAAAAAAGCTGGGGTAGCAATGCTAATATTATACAAAATAGACTTTAAAACCAAGTCCGTAACAAGAGACAAAGAAGGACCCAGTAATCCCACTTCTGGATATTTATCTGAAGAAACGCAAACGCCACTTCAAAGGGACACGTGACTCCACGTGTTCAGTGCAGCAGTATTTACGGTAGCCAAGATATGGAGGCCGCCTGGTGCCCATCACAGATGGTGGATACAGAAGAGGTGGCACATATACACGACGGAACATCACTCAGCCACAAAAAGAATGAAATTATGCCATTTGCAACATGGATGGACCTGGAGGGTATTGTGCCGTGTGGAGTTAGACAGACAAAGATAAATGCCATATGATTTCACTTACATGTAGAATCTAAAGAACAAAATAAATAAACAAAACAGAAATAATCTCATAGACACAAAGGACATTTTTATGGTTACCAGATGGAAGGGATGTTTGGGGCCATGTTTGGGGGATTAAAAAGTACAAATTGGAAGTTATAAAACGGTCACAGGGATGTAAAGTACAGCATAGGAAATATGGTCGATAAAGCGTGATAAGTATGTGTGGTGTCAGGTGGGTACTGGACCGATCGGGGTGATCACTTCGTAAGTTATAAAATGTCTAATCACTACGTCGTACACTTGAAACTAATATAATAGCGTATGTCAGTGGTCATTGAAAATAAAAAATTATTTAAAAATAAGGTAATGAGAAAATGATGTCGATAAAAGAAGAGGTAAAAGATCAGACTGACAAAATGAATGGAAAATCGCAAACCTTTGGAAATAAATGCAGACGCCAAACTACCGTTTTAGAACACGTGGAAAAACCGGAACAGATTCAGGTTGATAAGTCACGAGATAGGGGTTCGATTATATTTCCTGAAAGCATACAGGTAACCACTTTAAACGCGTACAAACATAAATCTTCCATTTTAACAAAAAGAATACTCATCTAACCAAAGGAAGAAAGGAAGCAAACCCAAAGTGTAGCATGCAAAAGAAACATTAACTACAGAAATTGTTTCAGGAAAAATAATATTAGAACCAAACATATCAAATAGTTTTTAAAAATATAATATAAAAACGTAAACGCATATTTGAGGCAACCCTATAACAACGTGACTCCAAAAAGGTTAAAAATAAAATTATGGGTGAGGATACATGAGGCATGAACTCAGAAAAACGAAATCTGGAGGCCTGGTTTTAACAGCAGGAAGCGTGAATTCGGGGTGAACATTTAGAATAGAATAAAATATGACATTCATTGTTCCTATAGTAAAAGAAAGGACAATCGAAGAGATGTCCTGCTTATCGGGGGTGCCAGAAGGAAACTTAACTTTGGGTGGTGAACACACAACGCGATATACACATGATGTATTATCGAATTGTACACTTGAACCCTATATGATTTTATTAACCAGTGTCACCCCGACGATTTAGTTAAAAAAAATAAAAAGCATGATCCACTCTGAAAAAAAGGTGAAAACTGAAAAACACTCAAAAAGTCTCAGTTCGAATAAGCTATCAAAACTGAATTTATAGACTATCTAGGAAAAGACAATGAAAACACTATATATCAAAATATATGGATTGTTGTTAAAGTATCAACGAGAAAATTCAGGGCCAAAAGTATCTATACGATTAAATCAAAGCGAATGGAAATCAATGAACTAGGGATCTACTAAATAAGTCAGAAAAACCACAACCAAGTAGTAAAAGTAGAAAGGAAGCTACGACTCGGTTGAGCCTTGAAGACGTTGCGTAAGTGACATAAGCCAGTCACAAAATGAGAAATACTGTGCATTCCACTCACGGGCGGTACCTAGAAGAATCAGGTTCACAGACTCAGCAGAATGGTGGTTGCCGGGGACGGGGGATGGGGAGTTTGGATTCTGCACAATCAAAGAATTCTGGAGATGGATGGTGGCGATGATCACACAATAATGTGAACGCACGAAATGCCACTGAGCTATACACTGAAAATGGCTAAGATGCTCAATGATACGTTCTGCAAATTTTATCACAACTAAATATGTATGTATAATTTTTTAAAGAAATAGAAGATCGACTTTAAGGTTTACTATAAAGCTACAGTAATCAAGACAGTGTGGTTTTGGCAAAATAATAGACAAATCGAATAAAAAGGGAACCCAGATGGACCCGATGAAGCAGAAGAGACAGCTCAGAAACAGACCCATGGAAATGTAATCGGCTGATCTTTGACAAAGGGGCAAAATTCAATGGGAAAAAGATAGTTTTTTTTTTTTTCCAGCAAATGATATCAAAGCGACTGAACACTCAGGTGTACTACAACGGAGCAAACGAAGACTTTTCAACAAATGGTTCTGGAGCAATTGGACATCCACGTGCAAAAAAAATAAAAAAGAAAAAATAAATAAAAAGAAAAAACAACCAACGACAAAACCAAACAGAACAAAACCCATGAATGGAGACCCAGACGTCACACTGTCCAAAAACGGATCACGGACGTAAGCGTCAAACACAAATTATAAAACCCCTAGAACGTGACGTAGGAGAAAATCTGCATGGCCTCAGGTATGGAGATGATATTTTAGATACGAACAGCAAAGGCACGATCCGCGAAGGAAATAATCGATAGATTGGACTTCCTTTCAATGCAAAACTTCTGCTCTGTGAAAGGCCGTGTCAAGAGAAGAAAAAAGCAAGTCACAGATGGGGAGAAAATATTTGAAAAAGACGCATGTGATGAAGGACTGTGATCCGATATACGCAAAGAACTCTCAATACTCGAGAATAAGAAATAAGAACTCTCAATACTCAAGAATAAGAAATAAGAATAAGAAAACGAGACAATTTAAAAATGGGCCGAAGACCTGGACAGGTACCTCATCAGAGATGATACGCAGATGGCAAATAAGCCCGCGAAACGATGCTCCACATCGTGTCCTCCAGGGAATGAAAACAAACACGGTGACGAGATGTCACTGCGCACCTGCCCGATGGCCGAAATCCGGATGCCACACCGCCCGGCGCGGGGCGTCCGGAGCCACCGGCTCTCCCGGTCACCGCCGCTGGGAACGCGAAATGGCTCAGCCACTTCGGAAGACGGTTTCTTGCAAAACAAAGCACAATCTTACCGTGCAATTCGACGACCAGTAAGTACTCTACAGTAGTGACTCAGAGGAGTCGAAAACGCACATCTACTCAAAAACCTGCGCGCAGATGCTTAAGGCAACTTTACTCATAACGGCCGACGCTCGGAAGCGACCCAGACGTCCTCCCGCGGGTGATGGGGAGACACGCTGTGGTCCATCCAGACGGTGGAATATTACTCAGCACCGAAAAACAAATGAGCCGTCGAGCTGTGAAGAGACGTGGAGGAACCTTAAACGCACGTGACGAAGTGAGGGAAGGCAGTCTGCACAGGCTGCACACTTTGTGATTCTGATGACCCATCTCATTCTGTAAAAGGCGAAACTTTGGGGACAGTAACGGAGCGGTGGGCGCCAGGGATTGGCGGAGGGTGGGGGCGCGAACGGGTGGAGCCGTGATGCTGCTCTGTGATGCTGTCGCAGGGGACACGTGGCATTACACAGTCGTCCAGACGTGGGGAGGGAGCACCCAGGTGATGGCGGCCGCCGGGCGACCGACGTGGCGGTCACATTTCAGCAGCTGTAGCAGGTGCACCGCTCTCGTGTGGGCGGCTGGTGACGGGAGCCGTGCGCGTGTGGGCAGGGGGCACGTGGGGGCTCTCTGTCCCCATCCCGTGTCGCTGCAAATCTAAAACTGCTCTGAAATCTAAGGTCCTAACTGTAAAAAGAAAAAAAAAAATAGAGAAGACGAGAAAGACCGAATCATTAAAAAATGAAAGCAGCCGTTTAAGAATCAAACGTAACTGGAGCATTTGGTGATGGGTAGCATTCGTGAGAAGGTAAATTCACAGAAGTCAAACACGGCAGAGGAAAGACTGGCGAAAGGTTTTAGCAAAAACAGTAAAAGAAAAACCAAAATTTGGGAAAGTGTAAGATTCTGACTGAGACATCAGGACAGACGAGCGGGGGCGAGGAACTGGGCGGACGGGAGGACCCTTCCATTCCTGTGATCCCCAGAGGGGCCTCCTGAGGACAGACAGACAGACGGCGGGGCTGATCACAAGGGTCCACGAGGACCGAAGCTGCGGACAGCAGCCCCCCGGGGGCCGTGACCACAGGACCCCTCTCCCCGACTTAGGGTGAGCTCTGATATTAGAGAGCCAAACCCACATGCAAACGGGGTGAATGGTTATTAGAAAAAGGACCGATCCCGTCGGATCTCGGAAGCTAAGCAGGGTCGGGCCTGGTTAGTACTCGGATAGGAGACCGCCTAGGAAGACCAGGTGCTGTAGGTGTAAAAAATAAAAAATAAGGGATTGTAAGCCAACAAGGTCCTTGCAATCTGTGAGGTCAACCAAGGGTCACCTCGCCTAAAAAAAAAAAAAGAGGAAGAAAAAGAAGTCAGCAGTAGGGAGGTTGGGTCTGGGGGAACTTGGGGGTCGGCTTGGGCAAGAAAGGACGAAGTATGGGTGAACGTTAAATTTTGTGAGAAAGAGTTATTTCCAGAGGCCTGGGCTTCAAGATGGCTTCTGGTTAACACTTTTTTTTATCCCAACTAACCCATCAGGTGAGAGGGATGACCAGCCCCGTCTGACACATTGGTGCTCCCTGGCCAGGCGTGACCTCTGGCTTCTACCGCGTGGCTTGCCTGGCAATCCAGGGCCCGTAGCCACTCCCCCAAACTGACGAATAAGCCTGAGAGCACACGGTGTCTGAAAATATAAACAACATCCTTAGCGAGCCAAATCAAAAACAAACAAACAAACAAAAAACCAGAAAAATGCACACAGTGATTAGAAAAAGAAATATAACCATGAACACGGAGGAAATTTTAAAGTGTTAAGTGCCTATATCGCAAAACTAGGCACATAATGCTGACAAATGGATGGCGATTAATTTTCTAAAAAAAATATGTAACTACAATGACTCCCGACGTGGTCGAGGATCTCACCTGTCCGAGGAGAGACCCAGATACGTGCCAATGCCCCCCGGACAGCCCCAGGCGAGTTCTCCTACACCTGAGTAGAAGATGCTTCTAAACCCAGCGGATGGTTGCGAAGCCCAGAGATTTTTTAGTTTCATTGTTTAGTGCAAAAAAAAGAAATCTGTAGAATGAGTCATCTCAACCGTGAATTTTGACAGCACAAGTCACAACTGGTGATCTTTCTCAATGGTGGTTCGGTCTCGGGGACTCTGTCGAGACAACACAACATAGTAGGGGCGTGAAGGGGGGACCCGAGCATCTCCATGGGTACCGAGCAGGCTGTGACAAAAATCCGCCACCCGCATTTTCCCCAGAAAGCCTTAACAGTTGGAGTAGGCATAGCTACTCTTTTTGACTATGACAACGAAAGTGTGTGTCTTCGTACAAGCGATATGGTGAGACATTAAACCACCCCATTAATGCCGGGGGACAGGGCAGGTGTGCCACCGGAATCCCCATGACTTAACACTGTTCTCACATGCAGCCGGCTCAGGGAAAGCAATAAAGTAAAAGGGAGGCCAAAAAAAAAATCTTAGAAACAAAAAGAAATCACAACAACGACGGTCGATGATGACATTAATATACAAAATGTACTACTTTCCTGTCTATCCCGTTAGAAAAGAAAATGGAAGAACATTCCATTGAAAACGGTAGCCGAGCGATATTTAGAAATAAATGACGAGAAACGTATAGGACCTGTCTTTGCAATACCGTAAACCCACCGAGTGACATAAAATGGGATTCGAATATAAGCCGAGATTGCAGTATTCCTGCATAGAAAGGCTCGACCATCTTTAAATTCACTGTGACCCCAATTTAAAAAACCAACGTGTGTGTGTGTGTGTGTGTGTGAGAGAGAGAGAAAGAGAGAGAGAGAGAGGCAGAGAGAGAGAGTTGAAGGTAGCGTTGACTTGAAAACACCCATTTAATATTAATATTTGATACTAATAAAAAGTCTCAGAATTTAAAAGCATTCATGGAGAGATATAAATAAAACAGAAAGATCCAAACACTCAAAGGAATTTAGTCTATGAAAAGGCGGCATTTCGAACAAGCGCGGAGAAGATTATATTGTATTACGCGAATGCACCGTTCATAATTTGTGGGCGCAAACGACCGATCATGAAGAGAGAGAAAAAAATGCATCTTACCCACAGTACCTGCAGGAAGTGAATTCCAAGGAGTTAGCAAACGTAAAGGCAAACAAACGAAACTATAAGGAGTTAGAAGAAAACGTAAGTTTATTTATATCTTCGGAACGGGAAAGGCCTTTTAAAACAAGAAACGAATATCAGGATCTACAGAGGACATGAATACATCGTCAACATAAAACTTTACGCTTTCTTTATGCCGAGAAATAAACAAAGCAACCAATGACATCGGGAGACAAATAATAAGCACGTAAAATATTTCGAGACGTAAGCAGACAGGGCACAGGCCAATTGATTAAGAAAAAGCCAAATAACCCAACTGAAAGTCGTGGAAAGGACATAAATTTACAAACGCTGAAACTGCCAAAAACATTTTGAAAAGATGTTCGAACTTCACTCATAGTAAAGCGAGTTTAAGAGGAATCATATTGAAATTTTTTTTTTTTTGCCAATCGGATCAGAAAATAATTAAGTCGATACTCGTCAGTGTCGGGAAAGTCCTCACAGCCTCGTCAGGTGTAGCCAGCGATCGGCGTTTGGATCTGGTGACGTGTGTCAAAACGCGAAACGCCCAGAGCCTCGACTGCAGGAATTTCATTTCCGAATCGGAACTGATACCAAGATACCCGCACGAGGACGCTCGTGGCAGATTCGCGGACAAAAATAAAAACTGCAAATAGTCTCGACGGTCACTCCTACGGGGAAGAAATCAGGGTCTAGAGAGAGAAGAAGCAGTGACAGAGAACGAGGCGGACCTGCGCACGCTGTTAGGGGCTGTCTCCCCTCTCCCCCCGCCCCTCCTTCCTTTCTAGAAATTTCCCCGCCTCCTCCAAACTCACTGGTGGTCCCCAGGGGTCCCCAGTAAGGAGAGAAAACTTCGGGCATTCGTACGTGTGTGACCGTGTGTGCGTCTCTCTTCCTCGTGATTCCCTTTTCAAACGGCAGAGTGGTTATTTGGGTGTCCTTAAGCGAACTGCTTCTGTTTGCTTTTCTCTGTTTTTCTTTAGAAAATGCAAAACCACAAAGTTTTCCTTTATAAAGCCGAAGCGCAGTAGGGATCCATTGGCAGCGAGCAATGAGGCGTGTGAAGCGTCCCTTTATGTATCAAAACATCCTACACCTTTCTAAAGATAGTTTAATAGAGGGGGGACCATTGTGCATTGTTCACCCATCCCACGTAGACTGGGAGGATGTCGCCACGATGGGATGCAACGATTCATGAACTTTCCTGTAAGCACGGTGTCCTCTCTGAGCCTGCGCACACGCGTGTGCACACACACGGAACACGCGTGAGCTGCCGTCTTCCTCAGTACAAACGAATCCATGCTCACCGCCCAGAAATGAGCGAGACAAACGGCGGGAGGAATCTATGCAATTTCTTTTGCTCTGAAAAATCTAATCTTCGCTCACGATGTGTGTATCTCGGGGGTGAGGAGCGAATTAAAGGTCCCTGGGGCTCACAGGCTCCCGTGGTTGTGAGTTCTGGGCAGTTGCTGGGGAAACAATAAGGTAGGAGAGATCAACTCTGTCCCCCTGTGATCTCGTTAAAACATAAGGGACACAGGAAGAGGCAAGGTGGCCACTGTCGGCCAGATAATCCAAGTGTGGGATTGTCACCCCATAGGTTTAAAACTAGGTTTCCCTTGCTTTCAAAGCACACATCTCCAGGGAACCCCGCGTCCTGGGCTGAAGCTGGGTAGACGGGTGTGGGGGAGCAGACCCCCCAAAGCCAGAAGCCGTAGCTGCTGGCCGTCAGCACCGTCAGCCAGCCACCCCCGCCCCCCGCAGCTGACCACAACGGGCTTGTCGTCCAGGAAAGCCAACGGCCACTGCATCCTCCCGCGTGCCTGCCACACGGGGAGCCCTGGCCCCCCGCCCAGACACACAGAGGAGAAGCACGGAGCACGTGCGCATTACGTGGACCCACCAAGTTCTCAGACTAATCACCGTCCGTACACGTGAAGCATCTCATCCTTATTTCTTTCAAAAACGTATAACAGGGTGTCATTTCGCGTTAGCTGCTCCGCTGGGCTGTCGACTCTAAGAGAACTCAACTGCCCTTTGCGTTTTGTGGGACAGAGTGAACTCGACTCCCCAGCGTCATGGGACAGCACAGGACACCTGAGTCTCCTGGAGTCCACAGAGACCCCCTGACTGAGTCTGGTCCCCCCCGCCCCGACAGGTGGGGTGTCAGCGGTCAGGCTGGTAAAAGCGTAACTTACCAGACCAACTGCCTATCTCCCTCTTTGACTTTTGAAATGCAGAGACAGCAAGAGGCTGCTTCTCTCCGCCAACCGTCTCTGGCCAATAAAATCTGAGTAGTAGAAACACCAGCAGTTGGGTTTTCAGTTTTAGGTCGGTTCAGCTGAGTTCCCTTTTCCCAGCTCGTTCCGTGGATGGATTTCGCGAGTGCGGTGAACTATGACCATGATTAGTTCGATCGAGGCTTGTGCACGGGCAAAAGCGGACGCCGTCCGTGGTCACGTAGCCCTGCACGCGCGCGACAGGCGGGCACGCCACCCCACTCTCTGACCGGCTGCCCTGGACACGGGGCCGGGCGAGAGGACCTGTTGCTGTCCCCCCATCTGAAGGGGTCAACACCTCTTCCTGGGAGCGACAGGGGATCCTGACAGATGTGACTGACGGCGACCGGGCGCGCGGGGTGTGGGGGGGATGGGGACACCCGGGCCTCCCCGGGGCCTCCCCGGGC